TCATTTTTCGATTTATCACTTGTTTTTAAAGCATATGTTCAATAAAATGAAGTGATTATTAGTAGTATATGTTCAACAGATGAAGCAATTGCTTTGTCTTATCTATTTCTAAACAGACAAAGTTGTCAATAACAATCAATCATTAAACTTAACAACAATACAATTGCAGCAATTAGACATCATTTAATGAAAGATAGAGGAAACTGAAAAGTGAAATAGAGAAAATAAAATATACATGTTCTAAAACCAATGTTTACTTTAGCATTTCATCAGAAAGAGGATGCAATCTCCAATCTACATTTTGATATCTGTAATGAGTTGATTAATCAATCTTACAAGAGATAAAACAAATGATGATCAAATAAGAGAATAGTAGCAAGTATAAATAAGAAGAGAAAGATCAAACGAATTTAAATAATGACCTATTCTTTATTGATAGTAACTCCACAAAAGTGTTGTAGAAGATACTCCAAACTATTTCTTTTCATTTTCAAAACCCTTGAGACCTAAGAACCATGCAAAAGCATAAGTCAACATATTAGTAGGAGTCCAACAAAAATTTTAACTACAAATTCAAAAACAATCAATTCATGCATATTCTAATTGCATTCAAAACTAAGCCAAAGCATTTCCATCAAGATAATGGCACTTTTCTACTATAGCATAAAGAAACAGGGTACATAAAAGACCCTAGGAAGTAGAAATTAAAAATAGAAGAAAGTGTAATCTTTCAAAGCAACTATTTTATAATTATAAAAATAGAGCAACCTAATAAAAGGTAAGAAAATTATGCTAGCAAAAAATCTTCAACAGTCACTTGCTTATCAGAAGTAAGAATAGTAACTTTATAAGGATTGCATTTAGAAAATGAGATTATTATAACAAATTAATGAAAATTAGACAAATCAAAATCAATAGAAAACATTTATTTTCTTGCAATTGTTTCATTATGAGGGATAACTTTTTCTTTTCATTTTCTTAAAAATTATATTATATTCATTTTCAGTACTCGACAAAAATATAACTTCATATCTACCATCCCAGCCCATAATACAGAACTTTAAAATCAGATGGCATTTATGATAATTCAACAATAATTTTTTTTTGTATATTATATATGAATAGAAATTAAAGATCCAAATCTTTTTAACCAACCTCAGTTACAGGGAATTCAATGACATGATTAGTTGTTGGCTTGATTATATACTCCATGACAATATTAGCAATAGTAAATTACTAGTCACCTTCTTTACTCAATCTACTATACTGGACTGCTACTTGTTCGAGAGCAATATATCTAATTATTTAAAAAATTATATGAAATACCATATGAAAAATTGTAGGAGTCAATTAAAAAATTTATATTAATCAAACAATGCAATAATGTCTAGAGAGAACTATAAGATACCTTTTCATGAGCAAGCAAATTAAAAAGAGAAGAAATTAGTGAAATTGAAAAGACAAATTGGATAAACTTGTATATACAAACTTATTATTGGTACTTTATGTATTGAAAGGACTAATCATTTTAGTTAAAGCCAAATACCACAATGGAACATTGATAAACACCTTCAAAATCCAAACCCAACATTAAATTATCTTAAATTTTAATAAAAAATTAAAATATTTAACAAACATTAAATTATTTTAAATTTTAACAAAAAATTAAAATATTTAAAAATTGAATATACTTGTTTGATTACAAACTCATGATACATATAATGAAGCAAATTAAGCGCCTACTTAAGCTCATTTTTGCCAAATTCCTCAAAATTCTTCAGATCATGAACTTGAACCATGGTACCCTTGGCACTGAAGTCAAGCTTCTTCATATTTTTTTCAAGAACTAAAACCTCCACCACAACTTGGATAGTCTTTCTTTATCAGAAAAAGTATTTAGATAAAACTTTTTGTTATAAAATTCTCCATAAACATTGTAGCAAACAAGATGGCCTTCCTTATTGAATCCATGCATAAAAATAACCTTTTCCAATTGGTTCTTAAGCTCTTTATCAAACAAGCCTTCAATTTTAAACTTACTTCGCCAATAGGTAGTGTTATTAGTGTCTTTCAAACCCCAAGCCTTCAGGAATTTTCTATGGTTCTCAAAAAGCAGAATCCTCTCTTTTGATAGAGATGGAAAAGTGAATTTATGCTTGTTAAGAACTTCTTTAATAAATAATTTAAACTTTTCAAGAGCCTTCTTTTGTGGCTTAGCAAATTCATCAACTATATTGGTTTTTTATTTGAAAAAAATCGAAATGAACACATATATCCAAATAAAATTAAAAGGAAAAATTATGAGAAAAAAGTTTAAAAAATGCAATTGTAAGAAAACTAACCAACATGCAACTATACCAATAGAATAAAAAATAACTTTCCTTACCAGTTTTTTCTATTTCCTTTTTCTCTTATTTTTTAGTTGAAACTAGCAACAACATAGCTCTGGTGAAGTTACGACAACCAACAAAAATCTAAAGAAGAAAAAACTTTAATTGAAAATTTTAAACAAAAAACCCCCCAAAAAATAAGCTTTCTAAGAAATGACAAACCTTTATTCTCTTTTAATTTTTGCACTGGGTTTTATAATCATGCACATAAATAATTAAAACCCAATAATCTTGTGTGCTAGGAGATACATGTAATTGCAAAACACAGAATCAACCTTCAAAAAGGGAAATGATTACTGTGTGATGCTAGGTTGTGTCCTAAATTTGCAATTCATCATCTGAAGAGCTGAAAAATAGAATTAACCCCATTAATAAATAAATAGATGTGCAAAATTCAACCACTCACCCCCTTCATCAACTAAAAAAATCATTTATGCTTGAATCATGTACCAATGCATATTGTTTTAAGCATGTATGTCCAAAAATACATAACAATTCAAATTTGAAGTCAAATGACTCAATCAACAGGAATTGAAACAACAAAACAATATCAATTCGTTAATTTTCACCTAAAACCCAAAAAGGTAACATAATTAATAGCTTAAATTTCACAACTCCAATAAAAATCCCACAAGAAAACGTCAACAGCATAACAAAGAAAACTAAAAATTTATAAAATTCAAGTGAAAGAAAACAAAAATGAAAAAAAGAACAAAATTTTACCTCAATCCCAATAAGTATCATCAAGCCTGCAAAAAAAATCCCAATATTAAAAAATAACCAAATCAAAAAGAAAAAAAAAAAGAAAATTGAGAAATACCCAAAAATGACAATGTTCCAAAGCATGATATTATTATCTTGAGCAGCTCCATTAATAACAAGTGAATCCTATTGTAGCCTCTTAAAATCTTTCAGTAGCCTCTTAAAATCTTTCATCAGCCTCTTCCTTGCTGGAGAGAAAGGGTAGATATCATTTTGGACCATATAGACAACATTTTTAATAAACCCAAAAAAGAGCCATTAGAATAGGAAGCAATAAAAACAGTAAGCTTCCTTTTTCTCTATCCCTTTTTCTTTCTTTCTCCTATTTTTTCTCTTTTTTAATTTTTTCGGTTATCTCTTAGAGAAAGCTTTTTTTCCCAACCTAGATAAGCTTTTTGCTTGAAGCTTAGCAGAAGAAGCTTCTAGAAAAAGCCTTTTCTAAAATTACTCCTTAATTTTTTTTATTTACTTTGCTTATCTGTCGCCTCAAATTGAAAAAGGGATAAGTTTTATTTATACTTATAGAATTTTTTTTATTTACTTTACTTATCTATCCCCTCAAATTGAAAAAAGGGATAGCTTTTTATAAACGTAAACTTATAATAATCAAGAAAAAAAAAAAACCAAAATAAAACGCAATGAAAAGCTAAAAAAAATTTCAAAAACTGAAAAAAAAAAAATAAAAGACCTTTTTAAGATTTGAGCGAGAAAACCAAAAAAAAATGTAAAAGAAAGCTAAAAGTGCTTAGAGTTGAAAGAGTTGAAAGAGTCTAATAATGTATATAAACAACTGACCTTTCTTCCAAAACCAAAATCAAAACCTCCCTAACTTCCTTCTTATCTTAGATTTGAAAAAGAAGGGGATAATTTCTTCTTCTGAATTTTTTTTTTCTTTGTTTTCACGTTGATTGGTTGAATGCTCTTAACTTTTTTTTGTGAGATGCCTTTATTGCTTAAACAATCGTGATCTAATGGTTGACATTTTTGTTAGTACAAACCCAAAGATTAGCTTTACCATCTGAAACCTAATGCCTTTTCTAGGTTAACGTGTATATCACTATGATTATAATTTTTATTCATACATAAAATTTTCTCAAAAAAAAATTTAATAATATGCTAATCTTTTTACGATGTTGATTCCTTTCACAACAGAGGCAGCCCACGATGATCTAGAGGCTGCACACCGTGTCTAAGTTAGCTTAACCCAGGAAGGATCACTGTATAAAAGACATTTGGGCGGGTCCAGAGCGCCATCTGCTACTCTAACCTACTGCAACCAGTATTTCATACCGATCGTCACCCCCCCCCCCCCCCCCCCCAATCCGCCAAAAGAACAGAACAAAAGCAAGTTGCCAATTCCACGGTAAAAAACAAGTGAACTAATGGTATGAATTGTCAAATGGACATTCCACGACTAGTTAATTATAGAGCCGCCCTTCTTATTATCGAGTATGCTAATTTTGTCTCCTTAATAGTGAATTAAGCTTGGAATGAATGATCCAGGAGCCTGACCAGATTCATGTCCTTATTCAATGGCAACTAAATGCCCACTAACGTGAATGAGAACAGAAGTGCCAACATGATCGTACCCTCTTTTTCCAATGATTAGATCTGCGTAAGGCAACTTCACATTTGCAGTAATGATCGCACCCTGCTATTTTCAATGTAGGTATGGGAAAACGAATTCGTACGAAGCGTGTCTGCAAGGAAAGTCATAAAAATGACCTACTCAATCTGTTGCTAAAATGCGACGGGATTACACGACCAGTTCAATCTGTTTATGACAAGTGATGCATTGCGTACATTATGAACTAAGTATACAACAGTGTCAATGTTACAACCGTAGTAACCAACATCCATTCCATATATAAAAACCAAGAAGAGATTGTTACAAAGACAAGTATCCGAGTATCTTCATCTTTTCCGAGCAACAAAAGTCCCGTTCGTCCCCAAATATTCCCCTTCAGGTAGCCTTAAGTTAAAGATGCAATCACTTCATTCTAATTGGCTTGGAAAATGAGATTGCCAACTTACCAAAATATTCATCCAAGAGGTATACTTGATTCCATTGGCATTTGGGAAAGAGTGATAACAGACATTTATCCTATTGCTATTTACAATATCTCAAATAGGTCTCGTTCTCGGCGAGGTGCCCGGTGTTTGGACTTTTAGTTGTGAAGTTTCAAGCCAAGCATCCTGAGTGTATCTCTGATTCGGTCTCAATGCACTCCCAGAGAAGTCACCGAAGTTGTAACCACTCTGTCCTATAAACGGATAAGTTGGATGAGGAGGAGAAAGAAAACAACTCTTGTGTGCTGGACCATATCTTAATGGGCTTGAACAAGGAGAAACGGGCAAAGATGCGATTGTTCTTGCATTATCTCTGTGCATGAAAACATGATAGGCAAGTTGATTAAGAACTTCATGCATATATTTTGAGTGTAGAAATGAATGACAATACAATATTACCTTGGGCTCCTCATCACTCTTGAACTTGTAGCCAGTCCCCTTGTCCCATAATCTCCATCAAATGAGAGGATATTATTTCTATTCGACTGCATTTCTAATATGGGCTGCTTAAAAAGTTAAAATAACAAAGAGATTAGCTGAAATCTGGCTTTAGTTACTGAGAAGCAGCTTTCAAGTACATGTTCATTAAAAAGTGATAAAAAAATATAGCAGTAGAGCAGCTGCTTAAAAAGGAAGAAAACAAAGCAATATCAATTTCAAAACAAATCTGATAAGACGGCTTTCTATGATTGCAAAATATGGTCTAAAGTTTTATTTCAAGAATATATTAAAATTTTAACAAGCATCATAAACTTAGAAGAAATCATAATTTGCAAAGAAATTGCATTAAAAGGATTACATATGTTACAGGCCCAGCACATAAAAAAACCATCGTAGATGTCATGATATCCAGATATATGCCACAGCCTACAGTTCAGCATTTATATTTGCCACCCCATGTTTAACAATCTATCTTAAAGAATCATTTAGGTTTGGTTTGCTAAATGCTTTTGTTTCTTGCATTTTGCTTTTTTTATTATTTTTGCAAAAAAAGAAAGAGAATAAAAAGGAAAAGGCAAAAATTTAAAAATGAATAAAAAAACAAAGACAAATAGCAAAAAGGAATAAAAAAACAAAAGCATCCACCACATGGAGCCTTATTTACACGTCAATCTGAAATTCTTTGATCAAATGATTCACTGTACCCAAACCAGATACGTGAAACAAGCAGATTTCTATATGACAAGAGTAATAATTGGATCCATAACTTTCACCCAATTATAGATTCCAATACACAAGGTTATCTTGTACGCACTACTGGGTCAGCTGAATCAAGCCTTGTATGAAATATGGTAGGTTTCTGCAGTATCCATTTGGTCAAAACATGACATGATGACCAAAGACCATATGATATTTTTAGGGATAAGGTACAAATTTACTACTTTACTTATGTGAGTGGTTCAAATTTACCAGTAATACCATTATACTTTTAATCTTGGATCACATTTACAGTCATACTCCTAATTTTGGAGTCAAAATATAACAATTGAGAAATAGTTAATAGAATATTTCATTGGAAGTTGTTTTTTATAATTCAAAAGAAAACTTAAAAATGTCATGACAAGAAAAAAGCCGAGACCAACTGAAAAAGGTGTGATGTGACAATATATTTAGTAAATTTCATGATGAAAGAAGAAAAGAAACAAATAAAAAGAAAACTTTCGATTATGTAACATTATACTTGATAGAAAATGCCATGATCAAAGAATAAAAAAATAATATATAATAATCAGATTTTAGCTTCATGGCTTTTTTTTTTCCCATGTTATTTTCAAATTTGTTTTTTGAATTGTAAAACAGCTTTTAATGAAATATTCCATTGAAGATTCTCCAATTGCTCCAAAATTAGAAATCTGATGATAAATTTTCTCTAAAATTAGAAGTCTGGTGGTAAAAATTGTACCAGTTGAAAGATTAGTGGTAAATTTGAACCACTCACAATACAGTGGTAAATTTACACCTTATCCCATATTTCTATATTAAAACCAAGTAGCTGAAGTTGTTTCAATAAGCATTTTCTAAATCAATTCAGTTCATGATGGGCTAGAGGGGTCTTCATTATAGTATAAAAAAAAAAAAGTCCTTGCAATCAGAGTAACGAAAATCATCAGAAAAAAAAAATGTAAACAATTATCTTTAAAGTATATACCGGAGTGCGGCTTCCATCAAAAGCGTAAGGAAATGCATCTTTGGTTATGCTGATGTTAGCAACTCTTGTTGTTGCTTGTTCCCGAATGAAAGGGTGATCTAGCAGTTGCAAGGCTGTAGGACGAGCTGATGGCTCTCGTTGCAAGCAAAGCCTTATGAAACTTTTTGCTTCATTAGAAAGGTGATCAGGAATCTCAGGAATATCTTTGCTGTTCCCAATTTTAAATATTGCAGCGACCTGTTGAATCCAAAAATAATGAAAGGATTAATCCTAATTCCTGAACACTATAGAGCTAGCCATAAAAAGACTTTTATCTGATAGATGTATGGAATTAATATGTCTCACCCCTTCATACTGACACCATGGTGGTTTTGATGTAGCCATTTCAAGTATAGTACAACCCAAGCTCCAGATATCCACTGCAAGGTTGTAGCCATTTGTATTCATTACAACCTGAGATCAGAAAAATAGAAGCACAAGTGAGCCATACCTTGGAGAACGGAAGATGCTGAATGGGAAAAGTAATTACTACTAAAATAGCATTTAAAATGTTTCTAACATGAGAAAAAGGGAGTGATTTTGTGACCATATAGTTCAGATAGAGAGGAAAAAAGATACCTCAGGTGCCATCCAATAAGGACTTCCCTTGAACGAAAGCATTGCACCACAAGCTGTTATCTGGATCACAAAGAAAAAAAATCAGTGGCCTGAAAAATAAAGGATAGAATGTAGGGACAAAAAATCACTAGCCATTTTTCGTTTTCATTCATAAGTTTCCAATATGTTAGATTTACATCAAAGTCTTACATTTTCTGCCTAAAGACAGAAAAAAAAATTAAAAAGGAAGAAAAAAAGACAAAAAGTAGGGAAAAAAGATCACAGATTTTCAGCTTTCATTCACATGTTTCTAAGTTGTCACATTTACATCAAAGTCTTGGATTTTCTGCCTACAGACTACAGTCAGTGCTTAAAGGCATAAAAGAAGAAAGAAAAAATTGTTAACCTTGCAGATAAATTGCTCAAGTGATTGTCTAAAGGACAAATTCTTCTATAAAAAAGGGCAATTTTCTTTCTAACCTGTGCTTTCTTTAGAACCAAAATCAGCATCATATCAATGTCATTTACTAGACACTTAATATTCTTAGCCAGAACTATTTTCGAGAGATATTGAAAAATCAGTATTCTAGAATTAAGCACATCATCCCCAAGATGAGATAAGATAACATACATGTTTTGCCATGCCAAAGTCCACCAACTTGATTTCACCAGTAGGATCTACTAATATGTTAGCCCCTTTTATGTCTCTGTGACATGAAATCCACAGCTTTAAAGCATAAGACACAGTTGAAGCTGAATTTCCACATAACAGACAACTAAGCATCCATAACTAGAACTACACCCAAGTACCTGTGCACCGTATTTCTTCCATGTAAGTAAGCAAGCCCAGAAAGAATTTGTCTTGTATAGTTTTGAATAACAGGTTCCTTGAAGGCACCATATTCTTGAAGTAATTTGTGGATTGAACCACCAGAGACATATTCCAAGTAAACCGAGAGTGTTTCTTCACCCTGGAAAAAACAGCAATTGTATTTACCACGAAGCAAGGTCTAATTAACTGGTATTGGGAGGAGGATTCCAGTGATCATTCTCCCTTCCCCCTTACTGTTGATTTCATAATGCAAGTGAATCATGTGTATGTCATGTCATCTAAAGCAGTATATAAAACCATACCAGTTCACTTCCATAGTATCGAACAATGTTTGGATGAGAAAGCTGACTCAGCAAATTTATCTCCTGTTGATACCAAAAAGGATTAGAAAACCAGACACTCAAATGTGGCAACTCGTAAATGATTTCAATGTCAACTGGTAAAACTATACCACAAAGTAAAATCCAACAGAGATTATGTATATGATGTAATCAGAGAGAATCAGACAAAACTATTACCTGGTTCAGTTGCTTGAGGCTTTCTTTAGATGTCTGATCATCGGATATGACCCTGACTTCTTTTATTGCACACATCTGCCCATTTTCACTGTCAAAGATGGATACATAATATTTAGAGAAGCATAATGGAAAAAATTATAAACAAACTTCTGCTAATTATTTGGAATCTGAAATGTCTTGAAGCTTGATAAATATCTTTTCTAATTTCACATATTAGCGGAGTAGTTACCGCAAATGCATGACAGCAACTATTTTCTGTTACTGATAGATTAAACTCTTAAAGAATTTATGACTGTTGCGGTGTGTGATAATCAACCTATACAGAAAGCAACTCCTACCTATTAAATCCAAGGTAAACATGACCAAAAGTTCCCCTTCCTAAGAGTCTCCCTCTACGCCATCCGGATAGAGTACAAGGCGTATTTTCACTCACTCCACAAGTTCTTGTGCAAGGCAAGGCAGAAGGACTAGTAGGAGAACCTGGTGGAAGAGGCAACTTATGACACTGAGACTTCCCATCTTCCTTTCTCCCTGTAGGAGAATCGAGACTCACTCCAAATGATCGATGATGAAGAGGTGATGTTGGGCTGGTTGCCCCTCTTGATCCTGGACCGGGGCTTCTAGACCTCATGTTCGTTCTAACTTCACCTTGACCTCTGGGATCAATATATGACCTGGATTTCAGTCAACGTCAACTCTGTTAAAACCTTTATAGAAAGCTTCATATGTGCGTGAAGAACTTAACACCATAAGACAACTTTGAATTTATGGTTCATTACAATCATGTAGTGTGCTACTTATATATGCAAGAATCCAACACTATCAATCAAGAATTACCTTCTATCTGAAAACATAATAGTGATTCATTTACAGAAATTAGCGTTAAGTGTAAGAAAAGCCTGGCCTTTGGGGAAAAATGTCTTAAATAGTCCTGAAATTCGGCGAAAAATAAATTGAATTAAAAAGTTTGAGGTTCGAGCCCCCAAAAGTCGAGAAAAACCAAATCTTTGCATTATAACAGAAAAGAAGGGAAAAAGAAACCAAAACCCGAAATAAACAAAATTCTGACGGCCAAAAGTAAGAGAGAGAATTCCAGTTCCAAAAGCTGAAAAATATTAGCAGATGGCAGATCCTGATAAATATCATTAAGAAAAGAAAACGGAAGCAATCAAGCTCTGACACCAAGAAAAGAGAGAAAAAAAAAAGGATTTTTTAATAATTAACCAATAACTGCTTTCTTTAAAAAAAAAAAAAAAAAGCAGTATCTGCTCCCATTAATTCAGAAAAAAAATTTAAATTAAAATCCCTCAAAATTAAGAATTCAATCTATATGCATATATAAAGAAAAAGACCTGCAGGCAAGAAATTGAACCGGATCATTTGTAATCTGATTATCTTCAGAAGAGCCAGACGAGCTAACGCTAGAAACCGAAGGCGACCCAGATCCCAATCCGACAACATGATCACTTTGCATCGACGAGACAGATGGTCTAGGCAAAGGAATCCCTCTTTTTTCCCCTGAATCCGAATCGAAACCCGAAAACCCGGATGACCCACCACCACTACCACCAACAACAACGCCAAAATCCTTGCTGGAACGTGGCGAATTACGGTTGGTTAAGACAAACCCTCCTCCATCATCGAAGGACTTTGGGTAGTTGTTGTTCCTGTTCTTGTCATCGGCAGGTGCAGGTGCTGCTTTATTTTTACCACTACCGCAGCCGCCGCCTGCAACGGCAGCAGCAGCAGCGATTTTATTAGGTGAAAACTTGATTAATCCGATGGTGGTACCACGTGGGCTTTGATTTTGAGGACTCTCTTCTTTGTTCTTACTCGACTTCTTAGCCCACCAAGCAGGCATTTTTTGTAATTTTTTTTCCTCTCTATAAGATGTAGAAGAAAAAGAAGAGAAGGAGAAAGACTCCCTTAAGAAAATGGCGATAAGAAAAGTTCTGATTTGGCAACGAAGCAGAGATTTTATACGGAGGAGGATAGGAAAGCGAGAGGAAATGGGGAGAAAGACTTTTTAGATAGAAGGCTTTTTTTAATATTTGATGGAGTGGGGCATGGCTACAGTGAGGAACAGCTAAGGGAGAAGGGGAGTGGGGTGGGGAATTAGGGGACGGCCGAAGGTGGTTGGATAAATGATAGATGGTGAGTATGACGTGGCTTTTATTTACCAAATTTTTTTATTTATTTTATTTAAAGCGAGTAAAAGCCAAGTCCCAAGTGCGTGTATTGGTGGTAAAGGCACGCGCCTTCTCTCTTTCTCTCCTTTTGGTTTCTGACCAACTAAAAAGTTAGCATAACTCGTTTTTAGTTCTAACCTATGCTAGCTTTTTTGACACATTTAAGCGCGTGTGAAAATTTTTATCTTCTACATAAAAAAATTTTTCAAAAGTAAATTCAAAAATCAAGAGATGTAAATGGTAAAAAATTATATATACCATTTACTTTCTATTAACATCAAGTTACCAACTCAGTTTTGCAAAATGCAAACTCAGTTTAATTCATAAATACAATAAATAAATTGAAAGCGACACCAAATTCATTCTTTTGTTAATTAATTATATAAATGTTTAATTTTTTTATACAAAAGAGATTACGTGACTCTTAAATAACAATGGAGGAATTTTAGAAAATAATGGTTTATCATAAATTTTTATTAATTAGTATCATAGTAAAAAAGAATTAATAAAGCTAATAATATCAAAATTAATATTTATTAATATATTTTTTAAAAAATAAAAATATATATTAGAAAATATTTTATTATGGCCAGTTCTATAAAATCTATAATTCAATAATTCTGAAGGATCACTTTCCTTTCCATAGTAATTGCTTATGAACCTCTTTTTTTTTTTCACTTTTTCTGCTTTTACGTTGAAGAGAATATGCTAAAGTGGACAATGTTTGTAGTCAGACAACTAGGTTTCAAGTAGACATAAAAATATCTTTTACCTCTTTATCTAAAGGTTAAGATATTTTAAAAAGGATATGTTGCGCGTAGGTTTTAACCTTATCATCATTTTTTTGTTATACGGACATTTGTCTTATGAATAAAAAAAAAAAACCATGAAAATAAAATTTTCTTAATATTTGCAAATTATATAACTATTATATGCTCAGACAAATTAGGGCTTGAAACACTAAATACAAAAATTAATTTTAAAACTAAGGTTATGTTCAGTGCAAGGAAGATTAGATTCAGGATAGTGAAATTAAAAATAATGATTATGGTGATATCAAAAATTATAACAATAAAATTAAATAAATTAACAACTAATAAAATGTAATTGATAAAATTAATTACAAAAAAAAAGAAAAAAAATAAGTAAAGATAATATATTTATATAAATTTAAAATTCAATTCAATTGATTTATATAATTATTTTTTAAAAATAATATTTAATAAATTTTGAATTTAAATTTGTCAATAGATTTTGACTTAATAACAAAGGGGAAATTTTAAAACTTTAAAATCATAAGTTCAAGTCTCATTACTTGAGTTTAATTTAATTGATTAGTTATGTTTTAATTTGTTAATTGATTATCTAATAATATATTATATATTAATATTATAATGAGAGACATTATAATAAATTTAGACATGTACCAACTACTAATCAATTAATTAGAGGGGCTTCATAGTAATTTTTTATGAAATTACTTTTAATATATTGTATATATTTTTAGTAATTTTGACAAATTCTGATAAAAAAGACGTTTTCATAATTATGATAAAAAGATATTATAATAATTTTTTACTAATTATGATAAAAAAAGTATTATAATAATTTTAGTTTATTATGGGATAAGGGTATTATTGTCCTTTTGATTAAAACATGTGTCAAATAATTTGAAAGGTAAAATAGTAATTTTCAAGAGAATTGCTTTTAATTATAGTTGGCCAGAGAACAATTTTCATAATTATAGTAAGAGAAATATTATAATAATTTTAATCAATTATGATAGAAGATATATTTTTGTAACTATGATAAAAAAATAATATAATAATTTTAGTTTATTATGAGAATAAAAGTATTATTATACTTTTGAACACATGTCAAACAATGATCAAATAATTAGAAAAGAAATATAATAATTTTCCAGGAATTATTTGAATTATATAATATAGATTTAAGATAGAAAAATATGAGTAGGCTTCTATATATTAATAATTAAATATTTACAGTGAATGATTAGGCTAGGAAATTTAATATTAATTGCTTAAGGAATGCATGCGCCTCTTTTCTTTCGACAAATTTATTATCATTGTCCCAAAAGTAATAAAAATCCACCAAACAATTCTTTTTATTATTTTTTAATTTTATGGCAACATATAAGATGTGTCGTTTTTCCTCTTTTATAATATATATGAGAAATTATTTGATTGACAATGAAATTTTTTAATTTTACAAGTGGTTTTAAGATTATAATATATGTCTCATTTTTTTAAAATTAATTTTTATTTATTTTTTTAAATATACATTAAGGGACATATGTCACTATTTTAACCTCACTTATGAAAATAAAAAATTTTCATTATCAGTATATTTGATAGTTTCTCTTTATATATATATATATATATATATATATATATATAAAGAATGATAAATTTACAATAGTATAAAACTTTTTAGTTTTATATTTTTTTTAATTATTGATTTCAATATATCTAAAATATGAAATTAAATCATTTTTTTATTTATCTCTCTCTTTCCTTAAATCTATTGAAATCAATAGTTTCAAAAAGATGTAAAACTAAAAAGTTTTATTCTAATGTAAATTGATATATATATATATATATAATGTTTGTGTGAGGTGTTCAATGGCATGAAGATATCGGCATTGGAAATGGAGTTTAGGTTAGGGATATCAATTTTTCTTATACCCAATGAAAAACTTGATTTATTATTCAAATGAAAATTGAAAATGGGGATGAGGGCAATAATATAACATTCGCTTTGTACTCATACTCTGTATATATTTATATATTTAGTAAAAGGTTTTTTATTAAATAATATAAATTATTATTTTAGATTAATTAGAATTAATATATTTTTATTTAAAATATATTTATATAAAATATATTTATAAAAAAATTACATAAATATACAAATTACAAATTAAAAATTTAAAAAAATATTAGAGGGTTAATTAAGGCATGAAATAAATTGATTGGGGTGATTTGAAGAAAGAATTTTTTATTTTTATTTTTGTTTTGGATACATGTCAATCAATTTTTTATTTTGGTATTTTTATTTTATTTTGTTTTGTTTTCTTTTGATTTTATTTTTGTTATATTTATTTTTTATTTTTTATGTATTGATTTTCTTATTTATTTGTTTATTTTTTTTTACATACATATTTAAAAATTTATATTAGGAATATGTTTTAATCATGTGACAACATTAAAAAACTAAAAATATGTGTTAGATAAATAAATTTATAATTTTTCATAATTGGGATAACTTTAATAGATTGTTATAGATTATATTTATTTATCTGCATCATGTAAATTTAAAAAATGGAAATAAATGAAAAAATTTTCAATGATGAAATTAAAAAAAAAATTGCAAATGGTGCTTGAAATTCATAGGTGATGAATTTTCTTAGAATCTTTCCAAAAGTATTTGAAAGATTTTAAAAGTATGTCAATAAAAATATTTAGTAAAAATAAAGGTTGGTAAAATAAAAATAAAAATAAAAATAATTTTTTATAAAATTTTAAATTAATCTAATAATGGAGCATCTTCAAGAAAATGAATGGATTTTTAAATACGTTTAAAATAGAGAAATTTTCTCAAAATTCTACTAAAATATTAAATAAAAGCTAAAAACTTTCCAATATTTTAAATAATGAAATTTAATTAAAAATAAAAGATCATTTCAATATAATCATTTAAGGATAATATAAGATTAATTGGAATCATTTTTAGATGGATATTGTGAGGGATTTAATATTTTCTTTATATGTAGATTAATTAATAATATACGATAAAAGTTGTTTCAAAATGGGGATAACTTTCAATTGAAGGGTAACTCACGATTGAACTGTCAAATTACTTTTTATTTATCAAATAGCTATTGGTCAATAAAAAGTTTTAATAAGCTATTGGATTTGGCATGTCATAATGTGTTGATTTTAATTAGATTAGAATATGGTGAGTTTGGCTTTAATTGTATTTGGAAAAAGGAATGTGGTGTTTGTATATTAGATTGTAATTGGGTGTATTTTTTAAGGTTTTGAGTTTTTATCATTTATTATCTATAATAAAATAAAATAATAAAAATATAATAACAATGATAAATATAATTATAAAATGATATAAAAAATAAAAATCAAGTTACTTTTCTTTTTTCTTTCTTTTGTTTTAAATATTTTTATAAAAAATTTATAATCTACAAAACAATTAAAAAAATCATATATTTTAATTAAATAATTAATAAAAAAAATACAACACTCGCAACGAAATATGAAAAAAAAAATAACAAAAAGATATAATCGCCTCATATGAAATACTAAATATATTTTTAATTTAAATATTTTTATTTATTTATTTTATTTATTATTTTATATTAAAATAATTAATCTATCTTAACGTAGTAAGGGACTAAATCTGGCTATAAATAAAGAAGACAACACAATTACATTTCTCTCGCTGACACAAGTTCTTAGTTACACCACTGAGCACATACGTTAGGAATTACAATATTTATCTTACTAAATAGTACGGAATACACAAAAATCAAATCCAAAATCATTTACGGTGAGAGTAATTAGTTTTATTAATTAAATTGGGAATGCTTGGGGTGACATCATATCCAAAATCAAATCTAATTTTTTTTATATATTTGAAATTGAAGATTTAAATTCTAATTATTAAAATTAAAAGTTTAACATTTTATTAATAGAGTTTGCAATTGTTAACAAAATTAAATACAAAATCACCGTGTGAGTGGTTGGTTTGACGAAAAATTTTCATTTTTTTAGAGGAGAAAAAGAATGTGAGTAAAATGAGCAGGTTTTTTAACAAAAAAAGGGATAATTTTATAAAAAGTTGAGCAAATTTTTTTAAAGTGGTTTTATAAAAAATAAAAAGATATAATTA